CCCCGGAGCACCGGCAGCCCCGGCCGCGGGGAGCGGCGGCTCGGCCCGAGGCTGAGGGCTGTGCGGGGTGCGGAGGGGGCTCGGCCCGGCTCCCCACGCCGCCCCATCCCGGATCCTCCCGCCGTGCCCCCCGTTCCATCCCGCCCCGCGGCCGCGCTCACCCCGGCTAATGCCGCGCCATAAAGGAACCGACTTACATTAACGACTTTTGTCACCAAAGTCATTAACATAATAGGGCTTCCACATCAAAATTGAATATTAATGCTCCGCCGGCTGCGGAGGGAGGCGGATAATTGCTCTAATACATTTTCCAGTCGGATTTTCGCATCGCGGCAGCAATTGCATTAGCAAACCCGATTATTCCCACGGCCGGTACAATGGGATGGTTAATGGGAGTTAAGTTCCTGCCTTTTTCCTCGGACCCCCGAGGCTGCGGCTCCGTGCCCCCCAGCGTCCCCTCCCGCGGGGGGCGCGGGGCAGGGCACGAGGTCCCCGAGCTGGCAGCGGAGGGGACAGCGCTGCGGAGCCACCTCGTCCCTCCGGCAAACACGACCCTTGGACGCAGACGGCCTTGAGACGCGCCGGGAACGCCGCGGCCAGCTGGAAACGCGCCTGTGCCCGGAGCCGTGCTGTGCCGTTCCGAGCCGTGCGGAGCCCTGGGATGAGCCGTGAAGGACAGCGGAGGGGACACAGCAGCCTGAGGGTCGCACCACAGCGGTGTTGTGGATCCAGGGGTTGTTCCCAGCTCCCGCCCCAGGAGTGTCAGGGGACCCTCCAGCCTCCTTTCCTTCCCGAGGGGTTTCAGCAGCTCCAGGGGAAAAAAAGCTCAGGAAAACAGCTGAGGAGGGAGGAAACTGCCGGGGTTGCAGCCCCTCCACTGCACCCCGAAACGTGTCCCCTGCGCAGGGACAGGCCGTGCCCTCTGCCACCACACCCCACCCTCGGGGTCCCCTCTTGCCCCCCCAAGGGGGACACCGTGCTCAGGGGGCTCTGTGGTGGCCCAGCCCCAGCAGAGGGGGGGACAGGCACCGTGAGAGCAGCAGCAGCAGTGGACAAAGGCAGCTGCAGGGCTGGGGGGTGGACGGGTGGGGGATCCTCATTAAATTGACTTTAATTGTGCTCATTTGGCCTCACTTCATTGATCAGCCTCACGCAGCAGAGTTATCCCCACGGGGCGGGGGGGCTGCCCACGGTGGGGGGCTGCCCACAGGGTTTAGACACCCAAAGCGGGGGTCGGGGGGCTGCCCAGAGGGAACATATCCACAGGAGGGGTCTGCCCAAGGTGGGGGGTCTGCCCACAGGGATGCCAACTCATGAGGGGCAGCCTGCCCAGGGAGGGGGGCTGCCCACAGCAGGGGCTTGCCCAGGTTTGATGTTTACCCACTGGGGATCTGCCTGCTGCGCCCAGGGACACAGCTCTGCTGCTCCACAAGCCCTGCACTCAACCCCTGCCCACGCGGCACCAGGGCTTCCCCCGGCCCCTTCCCACTCCCGCCGGCGTCACTGCGGGAAGGAAGAGCCTGAGAGCCGCTTGTTGTGAGGTTTTTCTGGTTCTCTTTTTCAAGAGAACTCTTTCCCAGCACTCCCAGACCACCGGAGGCTGCACACCGTGTACCCACACACGCGCTGGGATAATCCAGAAGGGCCCTTTCCCGGTCTTTCCCACGTGGACAGGGATCCAAGGGCAGCCGCGGAGGAGGATGCGGGGGCTGGGGGTGCGGTGCCATCCGTGTCCTTCCGTGTCCCTCGGCGTGTCCCCAAGCATGGCTCCGTGCCGCAGCCGCACGTCCCGCTGCACCAGCGCCTGTGCCGGGCTGTGCCCCGCCGTGCGGCCGCCTGTTCCCGGCTGTCCTTGTCCGTCTGTCCCCGCGCCGTGTCCGTGCGGTGCCGGAGGGTCCCCCCGGCCCCTCCCCGCTAACTCGATTGCCGTCCCGCCTAATGAATCGCCCGCCGTAATCTAATCGTGGTTACGAGCCATCGGGATTTATTTCAGCGTTTTCAATCAATTACACCCTTTTATTGCAAAACGGGGAAAAAAACCAAAAAATCCCAAACTCCGCAGTGCCCCGACAGGAATCCCGGTGGCAGCCGCTGCCAGGCCTCTGCTCCCGGTACCCCCCGGTGCTGCTCCCGTTCCCACTGTGTGGTCCCCGGTACCGTTCAAGCTCCCCTCGCCCTGAGCAGCCCCCCACATCACACAGCCCCGCAGCTGGCTCTGTCCCCTCCCTGCACTGAGCACAGCCACCCCACTGCACAGCCCCACACACTGCACAGCCCCACACACTGCACAGCCCCACACACTGCTCTGCACAGCCCCACACACTGCACAGCCCCACACACTGCTCTGCACAGCCCCACACACACTGCACAGCCCCACACACTGCTCTGCACAGCCCCACACACTGCTCTGCACGGCCCCCCAGCACTGCACAGCCCCACACACTGCACAGCCCCACACACTGCTCTGCACAGCCCCACACACTGCACAGCCCCACACACTGGCACAGGCCCACACACTGCAGAACCCCACACACTGCACAGCCCCACACATACTGCACAGCCCCACACACTGCTCTGCATGGCCCCCAACACTGCACAGCCCCCCGACCATGCACAACCCCCAAACATTTCACTGCACATCCCCCAACACTTACACCCCCACCTCGCACAGCCCCCAACCACTCCAACCGCCCCACTGCAGCCCCCCAACACTGCAGAACCCCACACATATCGCCCCCCTCACACCGCACAGCCCCGCAATTACCCCCCTTACTGCACGCTCCCTTCCAGCGCACGCCCCCCAGCAGTTCCCTGCCCGCCTCGCCGGTCCCCCAAGCCCTGCAGCCCGTCCCCGGCGGTCGCGGACCTGCGGCGGGCGCTGCCCGCGGCCCGTTCCCCTCACGCCGCTCTTTGATCCCGCTCGCTCCGGCCCGGGGCGCTCCGGGCTGTGCGCGGGGGGGCCTCGAAACCGCCCCCGCCGCGCGTGTCCCCCTCCCCCCGAGGGGGCGCCTTGAAACGGCCCGCCGCACCGGCCAATCGGCGCCTTGTTTACACTGCGTGATTGACAGCGCGCTGGCGCGCCGCCAGCCAATCGTGGCGCGGGGGGGGCCCCGCGCGCTGCGGCGGAGGGGCGCGCAGCAACGCAATTCCCCCCGCCCCTCCGCCCCGGGCGCGCGCTGCGCCTGCGCGCCGCTCCCTCCTCCCCATTCATCCGCCGGGCTTGAATTAGGCGCCGCCGTTCCGCGCCGCTCGCCGCGCGCCGATTGGCGGGAGCGCCGGCGGCCACACACCCCCGGTTCCCTTTGCTGCAGGAGCAGCCGGTGCATGGGCAGTGCACGGGCACCGGCAGGAGCACGCTGCGCACCCCCGCCACGGGACCGCACTCGCCCCGCGCGCGGAACGCCCCTCCGGTAAGTAACTGCGATCCGCGGGTGGGTTTTTTTTTGTTGTTGTTGTTGTTGTTGTTGTTTGGGGGTTATTTTAATTTCGGGCGCTCCGGGGTTATTGTTTTTTGTTGGTTTTGTTTTTTTTTTTTTTTTTTTTTTACGCCTTAACAATTTTTTTTGGCGTTATTTATTTTGGGTTTTTGGGCGTTAATTTTTTTTTTTTTTAATTGCGTTTCGGGCATTATTTTTATTTGTGTTTTGGGCATTGTGTTTTTTTTTTTTTTCTTCGCCTACTTGGATTTATTACGTTTTAAATTTTTGGGTCGCTAATTATTTTGCATTTTTTTCAATTAAATTTTTGCAAATTTCTTTTTTTTTTTTTTTTGCGTTTTTACCTTATTATTTATTTTTCGCTTTATTTGTTTGCACCTAAATATTTATTTGCATCTTTCCGGCATCAAAATATTTTCTACATTAGTCTTTTTCCTGCAAAAATATTTGTTCTCTTCGTCTTTTTTCCCCCCAAAATATTTTCCCTCTATCTCTTTCCACCAAAATATTTTCCCCTTCATCTTTTGTCATTAAAACGTATTTTCCCTTTCATCTTTTTATATTAAAACATTTCCCCATTAAAACCCGTCTCTTCAAAACGCTTCGCCTTAAAATTTTGTTCATTAAAATTTTGTGCGTGAAAACATTTGTTCATTAAATCGTTTGCTCATCAAACGCTGCTTCACTAAACCGTTTGCGCCTTCAAACATTTTCGCATCGAGCCCTTTTTGCCTTCGACTTTTTGCTTTTAATATTTTTCCTTTTCAATTATTTCCCATTAATTTTTTCGCTTTGCGTTTGTTTTTTTTATATCTCAATTAAAAAAAAAAAAAAAAGAAAAAAAACCAAAACATCCTTTTTCACATATTTTCCTCCGCTTTATTTAAGGGAATACACGTTTTGTTCCCGGCCCGTGTACCTTCCCCCGGGGCTCGCCCCGGCGCTCCCTCCCGCTCCCCGCGGTCCCGGCCGGGCCCCCCGCGCCCCCCGGCCGCGCTCGCCGCCCCGCGCCCCTTTGTTCGCCGCCGCCCGGCCCGTGCCCGGCTCCCCCCGCCGGATCGGGCCCCCGGGCCCCGGCGCTGCCAGAACAATGACCCGGCGGGCGGGAGCCGCGGCCGGGCACCGGCAGGGACCGGGAACCGCGGCCGGGAGACCGGGGAAATACCGGGAAACCGGGGCAGGGCGCCGGGGACGGACCGGGGAACCGGGGAGAGGAGGGTCGGGACAGCGGGTAATACCGGGGGAGCGGGGCCGGGGGAACCGGGCTGGAGGGAAGACGGGGAAACACCGAGGAAGCGAGGCTGGGGAAGGAAGGAAACCGGGGAACCGCGGCGAGGGAGGCGCCGAGCACCGGGGAGACAACGGGAAGCGGGGAAGCCGGGGGCGAGGGGGGCCGAGCCCCAGCGAGATACGGTCGGTGAACCGGGAGAGATAAAAGAACCGAGCGCCGGGAAACCGGAACCCGAGCAGCGGCCAGAAAGGGTCGGAGCAGCGGGAACCGAGCCCGTGCTCCGGGCAGCCGGGGTTGGGAACGGGTCTGCTGCGCTCCGGGAGCCCCGGGAATGTGGAGTGGGGGGGGCTGTGCGCTGAGGAAACTGGGGATCATGAACTGGGAGTACTGGGAAAAGGGGGGGCCGCGCTCCGGGGACGGCAGCGAGCGGGGACCGTGCGCCGGTGGTACCGGGGAACGCGGGGCCCTGCGAACCGCGGAGAAAGCGGGCTGTGTACCGGGGAAACGGGGAGCGGGGCGCGGGGGCTCTGGGGTGCAGTGATGGCCGTACCCCCACCCCGGCTGTGCTCTCACCCTCTCCTTTCTCTCCCCGTGCCAGGAGCGGAGGATGAACCGACAGCCCCGGCGCGGAGCGCGGCACGACGCCCGCCGAGCCGGCCCGGCGCGGCGCTGAGCATCGCCCACGAGCCGCCTCGGGGTCCCGCCGAGCCCCCCGCGGGTGGGTGCCCCCGGCATGGACGGCCGTGACTTCGCGCCCCCGCCGCGGCTGCTGTCGGAGCGGGGCAGCCTGGGCCACCGGCACGGCGCGGGGCGCGTGGCGGGGTCGGCGCACGGGGCCGTGCAGCCCCCCGGACACTTCCAGCCCACCAAGTACTTCCCGGCGCCCATCTCCATGGCCACGCACACAGGTCAGAGGGGTCGGGGCGCCCGCGGTGTGGGGGACCGGCGGGGAGGGCCGGGAGGCTCGGCACGGCCCCGGGAGCTCGGCCTCCCTTTGTGCCGACCTCGCTGTCACCGCGCTCGGGGGTTTTGGGGTGAGGGCTCACGCACACGGGGAACATCCCCCCACCCAGCCGCTCCGCCGGCGCGGCAGGAGCGTGACCCCGGCTGCGCCGGTGAGATCCCGGTGCCCGGACGAGGAGGCGCGTTCGGTGCGAACAAGGAGGCCGTTATGCGCGGGGCCGTGGGGCGGCGGTGGAAGGTCACCGAGCCCGGGCTCGATATTCGGCGCCGAAGTGTCAGGGTGCGAAGGGGTTCGCGGCGCGCGTTCGCCGCGGCAGCTGCCGGAGCCGGACAAAGCGCGGCACACGGCCGAGCTCGGCACGGCCAGCCAGCACCGGCGCGGGGTCACCGGATCCGGCATCCGCGGCGAGCCGCCCGCGCGGCTTTGTCTGCGGCATGTGCTCGGCTGCGGCCGGGCAGGGCTGAACCGGGGGGCACGGCGCTTCTACCGGGGCTCGCTGCACGGGGGGCTCTGAGGGCACGGCCGGCGGGGAGCCCCCTGCGCTGCCGAGCTCCGGGATGGAGCGGGAGCGGGAGCAGGGCCGGGGCGGGAGCCGTGTGCCGGCTCGGCGCGGCGCAGCGCCGGGCCCCCCGCTTCCCGCCGGCGCAGGCGGTTGTCTGGCCGCGGCACGGCGGCAGCGCCGGTTATTGTCGCCGCCTTGATGAGCTGTGAATACTAATAAAATTATATCTGCTTTAATGGGATTACAATTAGTGCGTGGATTAGGGCGGGGGGCACGGCCGGGCCGGCGCGGGGGGGTGGCAGCCGTGAGGGTTCTTGGAAGGAGGTGGAAAGCGGGGGGCACCGGGGGGTGCCGGGGAGGCGGCGCCGAATCGGGCCCGCGGCCGGGGCGGTTTCGCTTTGTGCCGGCGGCCCCGCTGCCGGGACCACCGCCGGGCTCGGGGGGCCACCCTGGCTTCCCCCAGCTTTGTTGGGCGAGGAGTGCGGATGGGGCTTGGAGCCCGGCCCCGGGTTGAGGGACAGGGGTACGGGTGGGGGTTCGGCTGCTCTCCGGCTCGCGGTGACCGTGGGGGGATCCCGGAGGGACTCCAGCACCGGGGTGCCGCCGGCTTCCCTCCGGCTTCCCGCCGCGGCCGCGTCCCCGTGCAGGACCCTCACGCCCGCCGGGGCCTGGGCGACACATGGGAGCCCGAATGCACCGGAGGTTGTTAAAATAACATGGATCCGGCTAAAAATACCCCGGCAGAAACGCGCCGAAAAAAAACATTAAAAAAAAAAACCAGAAAAAAAAAAAAAAAAAAAAAAAAAAAACAGAGAAGCCAAACCCAACAACAGAACGAGCTAAAAATATTCCGGCTTTGGCAGGGCCGGCGCAGCCGGAGCGCTTCCCAGCGAGCTGCGCTCCGAGGCTCCGCGCGGCCGGAACGCTGCTGGGGCGGATAAACCGGATAATTTAGCGGCCGGCACGGTGCCGGCGGGAGGGGGGTCCCCATCCCCTGCACCCCGTGTCCTCCCGGCATGGCCCGGCCGCGGTGCCGGCAGCCGTGGTAGCATGGCGCGGTAATTAACGCCGATGATTGATAATTACCCCAGCCGGCGCACGGAGCCGGCCCGCGGTTGGCCGTGGCGGGGCGATGCCGTGCGGCACGCGGCACCCGGGGGGCACGGGGGGGCTCCGGCCGCGCTCCCCCAAATGGCTCCCGGCGTGGGGCCGGACTACACCTCCCAGGAGCCTTTGCCGGGCCCGGCGGCCGCCCTGGGAACGGGAGATAAAACTGTTTTCCTTGGTTTTATTAAAGCCGTAACTCAGGGCCGCGCGTTCGTGGAACGGAACGCTCCGGCTGGCGTCGGGTTTGGCACCGGCACCGCCCCGGGATGGGGGGATGGAGACCCCCGGAGCCACCAGAGCCCATCCAGGCGGGGTGCAGCCCCTGCACCCCAGTTGTAGAGGGTCCAGTGCCACGGCACACCCCGTGCTGAGCAGGGCCGGGGGTCCCGGTGCCTCCGCCACAAACGGAGGGTGGGAAACTCTGGCAGAGGCCTGTCCGAGCCTCGCTGGGGCCTGGCTGCAAATTTTGCCTTTCGAATGTTTTTGTGGACTAGTGCAGAGTTGTGACTGCGCTGGACTGTGTCACCGTGGCTGAGCCCTCGGCCGGGAACAGTGTGGCTGTGCCGGTGTGTGGCTTGACCCTGGAGGGGTGTGCGTGCATCCCGGTGTGCATCCCGGCGTGAATCCCGGTGTGCATCCCGGTGTGTGTGCCAGTGCTGCCCTGCAGCCTGGCACTGGCAGTGTTGGTGTTCATCCTGGCGCTGGCACATAGCCTGGCCATGACAGTGCAGGTCCCGGTGCATCCCAGGTGCATCCCAGCGGCTGGATGTGCTCCCACACCTGTCCCCTCCCTGGATCGCGCCGTAGGCTTGGTGCTGTGCGGTTCCTGGCACGGCTTTGAGGGGGGATTTGGATGGTGATGGTGGGAGGCAGGTGGGGACGGTGCCCCTGGCTGGGTGGTGACACAGGGCCGGGTGCCAGCGCTGCAGCCGCTCTGCATCGCTGCTTCCCTGGAGACGGGATCTGCCGAGGGGCTGCAGGCCACGGTGCAGCTCCGGCGCAGCTCTGGCGCAGGGGCTGCTGCTCCCCCCAGCCCCCCTTGCAGTACATTGCCAAAGTAAGTGTCAAAGTTAAACCAGATCTGGAGATTAACTGGGCTGCTCCTTGGTAGCCACGAGGCGCCGGGGGCCGAGCGTGGCCGGTGGGAGCAGTGGGATGTGCAGAACCCTGGATCCTGTGGAATTACCCCAGCTCTCGCAGAGTCATCCCTGAGTGCTTCCACTGTTCCTTAGTCATGAGCTGGATCCAGGCAGAGATGTTGCCACGTGCCAGGCCCTGGGGGACGGGCAGCTGCCACCAGCCCCTGGCACTGACCGGGGAACAATGGGGGGTGGAATTTTGGGACCACTTTGGGTGTCCCTGGCTCCTCGGGACCCCCAGCCCTGCCTGTGCCCTGACTGCACCATAGCATCACCCCAGGGCAGGCTCTGACCCTGCCTCGTGCTGGGGTCCCCCAACCCTGGGGGAAGCAGGGGTAGACGAGTCCTCCCCCTGCCAGGACCCACATGTGTGATTTTCACAGGAGCTGCACAGGGTGCCCATGGACCCACATTTTGGAGGGTTCCTGGGAAGAGTCCATGTGCACGGCATCCATGTGACATCACTGGTGGGGTGGGACATCAGGACCCCCGGGACTGGACATTCCCAGTGCTGGCTTCCCTGTGCTCCAGCAATGCTCTTGCAAGGCGCGTGTGTGCTCTGGGTGTGCAAATCGTGCTCTGGGTGTGAAAGTCACGCGTGCAGGGAGCGTGCACTGAGCACACGTGTGTGCCAGCTGTGCCAGTGGTGTGTGCCAGCCGTGCCAGCAGTGTTTCCCAGCTGTGCCAGGAGTGTCCACCACCCTCGTGAGCCCTTTGCACACACGGCCCCAGTGAGTGTGCAAGTGCTGAGTGTGCAGTGGCTGTGGCCAGCACAGCTGCCAGTGGCATTCCGGAGGGGATAACCCCTCGCACAGCACTGGGATCACCCTCCTGGCCCCTCGGGCACGTTCCGGCTGCATTTCACCATTGCAGCGTTCATTGAGTGCCATAACAATATGGATTCAGTTGGAAGTACAGCACCGAGGGAGCCAGAGCCCGTTTATTCCCTGTGTGCCAAATTTTTAAAGGGGTTGTGTGGATTGTGAAGCACATGGGGGGGCTGCCCACCACCCCCTGCCCGGTTGGGGGGGGCCCGGGTTGCCCCTGCCAGGGTCCCTGCCAGCTCCCGGCCCTCCGCCCGCGGCCCCAGCTCCATTAGGAATGTTCCAGCCCCAAAATAGCCGAGGGAGAAACCCAACCCAGCGCACGTCCCCCCCGCCACCGCCGCAGTCCCGGGTCTGTCACCGCCTTGGGGATCCCAGAGCAGCCGTGGGCTGAACCCCCCCAGGACCACGGCCCCCCCTCCACACGCTGGCCCTGAAACTTTCTGCCTTCCCAACACATTCCCATCTGTGCTGCACTTGGAGTGGGGGCGAGGAGCAGCTGGAGAGAAGGGAGCACCTCTTGTTGTCCCCTCCTGAGTCTCCCCCATGCCCCCCGCCCCTCTCAGCGCTGTCGGTGTGGCCGTGCTGAGACCTGGCACACTTGTCACACGTGTGACCCTCTGCGGACTTGGGGCCAAGGGAAATTTCGTGCCGGAGCCGGGAGCAATGCCGGCAGGGCTGAGTCACAGCACCGGCCTCGGGGAGCCCAGCCAGGGAGTTCCCAGGGTGACGCTGCCGGGGGGCGGCGGGGGGGCCCGGGCTGGGACCCCGCAGCCATCTGTCCCCTGCTGGCAGCCCGCCCCACGGTGCTGTGCCCATCCTGGCGCTGCCAGCTCATCAGGGACACGAGCTGTGCCCGGTCTCAGGGACTGGCAGCACGGGCTGCTCCAGCACCGCTGGCTTATCGGTGACACGAGTTGTGCGCGTCCTCAGTGACCCGTCCCTGCCCTGTGCTCGCCATCGCCGTTGCTGGAGGGGCAGAAGCAGGGGGCTGCTCCCTGCCCCTGCTCAGTGCATGAGTGTGCAGGGGCGAGTGGGAATGTGGGATCAGCAGTGCTGGCCACGGGGCCAGCGCGCACCGGGGGACCCGTGAGTCAGCGGGTGGGCGGTGGGGAGCGGCGGCCCCACGGCCCCCCTGGGACGCCCCGGCCCCGCCGCCATCGGGGTGGGGTGAGGGGTTATTTTTTTCCAGCCCGCTTCACAGCTTCCAGAAAAGTCTCATTCTGGAAATCTCGGCTTCCCGCCCGGCGCGCTGCCTGCTCCACGCCCGCATGGGGTCCCCCGGCACGGCCGGGGCTGTGGTGCACAGGGTGGGTTTGTGCGGGCAGCACAGGGCACAGATCCCTGGGGATGCATTGGCACAGCGGGATTTGCCCACCCGTCCCGGTGCGTGTCCGGTTCCCAGGGCTGTGGGTGGGATGCGGCCGTGCCCCCGGCCCACGCGGCACTGCCCGGCTCGGCCTCGCCACGGAGGAAGGAGTGAAGCTGCCTGAAACCACATCCCGACACTCATCCCAGAGGCATCCCGGTGGGATTAGCCGGGGAGCGTGGGCCGGCTTAGAGAGCAAAGCATCGCTTCCTGCCCCGGCCGGGCGGGCAGCCAGCCCGCGCTCCGCACCACGCCACGCGTGCCGAGCCGTGCCGAGCCGTGCTGAGCCGTGCCATGGCTGCTCTGGTACACATGGACATGGAGAGCGGGCCCACACAGGGAGGGGCAGCTGCTCCTCTGTCCTGGCTCCCCTCATCCCGGCTCCCCCCATTCCCACTTCCCCCGCCCGGCCGCTGGCCACCGGCTCTGAAGTTTCCACCATGATCTCACGGCTTGGCCGGGATGGGAGCGGGGTGGGGGGCGGGATGGGGAGCGCCGGCCATGGGCCTCCCCAAGGGTGCTGGGGGCCCCCCCGGGCTGCGGGGGAGGCAGCAGGGTCAGGGCCAGGGCTGTCCCCCCTCCTTGCACTCACACACATGTGCAGACACACACAGCACACATGTGCACCCACGTGGCCTGGCACAGCCCATGTCCCTGGAGCTTGGGATTGTCCTGGCACTGCGAGCAGCCGGTGTCCCCTGGGGGGGAGCAGCAGCGTGGGGAGCCCCATGCGTGTGCAGAGCGTGGCACACCTGTGTGAGTGCTTAGGGCATGCACAGGGCAGGGCTCTGGTGCCCCTTGCATGGCTCTGCTGTGCCTCACACACTCTGGGGCACGTCTGAGCCCCGTGGGCCTGGGGGCCTGAGGGGCATGAGTGTGTGAGGGGTGTGACTGCACAGGGCACATGCGCAGGCAGCGTGTGCACGAGGGACAGGGTGACACGAGGGACGTGGTAACGCCAGGGCTGTGAGCACGAGGAACGTGTGTGCACAGGGGCTGGGTGTGCACAAGGGGCACAGTCCCTTGAGGGACACATGTGGCAGGAGGGCGGGGTGTGCCCAGGGGATGCACCGGTGCAGCCGTGCACACACACATGTGCGCAAGGCAGTGTGGTGTGCTGGGTCATGCAAGCAGGGCCTGCACAGCCCCCCCGATTGTCCTCAGCCCCCCCAGACTGTTCTCAGCCCCCCTGACTGTGCCCTCTCCCCACAGCCGGCAGCAGCCTGATGGGGAGTGCCCCCCCCTCCTCATTCATGGGGGGCTTCCTGAGTGGCAGCCTGGGCTCGGGGGGGCCCAGCCACCCTGCCGGCCCCACCGCCTCCCCCCCAGAACCGGCCTTCTGCGGGCCTCACTCCGGCACCTCCCAGATCTGGTTCTCCCACTCCCACGAAGGTGAGCGGGCACCGCGGTGGGGATGGGCTGTGGGTCAGGGCAGCTGGGGGCAGTCATGTCTCTGCCCAGTGCCAGTGGTCACATTCTACCGGTGCCCAGTGTATGGGATCCCGACCCCCTGGGTCAGCAGCTTCTGGGTGATGAGGGTGGGTTTGGCCGCCGTCGTGCCCCAAAACACCCTGGGCATCCAGAGAGACTGGGCTTAGACCCCACAGCTGGGGTTTGTCGTGCCCCAAAACTGGGCTTAGACCCCACAGCTGGGGTTCGGGGTGGCCAGAGAGGCTCATGCTGGGTTGCAGAGCTCCAGCTGAGGCGGAGCTACCTCATGTCGCCGGTGATGATGTCCCGCGGACAGGGACACCCCTGTTGGGGCAGATGACAGTGTGGAGACGCCGGGGGCAGCCCTGGTTAAACCGAGTCCCTGTGCCCCCCCATGCGCTGGCGTCTCCGTCCCACCGGAGGAGCGGGAGCGGGGCGGCGGTGCTGGCGCGGGGCCCTGGCAGCCTGCCCGGCTGGTAGTTTGACCGGCTGCCAGCTGGCTCCCGGCGTTCCGGGGGGGCACGGGGGGACGGGGACGGGCAGCACACGCGGCTGACGGACAGCCCGCCCGAGCCGTGCCGAGCTGAGCCAAGCACGGCCACTGCTGACACGGGACTGGGGGGGGTCTCAACCTCCCCCCCGCAGTTCCCAGAGGGTGGGAGGGGTCCCAGCCTGGAGGGGATCATGGGCTCTGTTGAGTTCCCAGCTGGAGCCATGCAGGTTGGGATGCTGGGGCCGGGTGTCACCCCAGCCCTGCTTACTCGATGTCCCCAGCCCCGGGGTACCCCCGCTTCTCCGGGAGCTTGGCCTCCACCTTCCTGCCCATGGGCCACCTGGATCACCACGGCAATAGCAACGTGCTCTATGGCCAGCACCGTTTCTACGAGAGCCAGAAAGGCAGGTACCGGGGCCACCAGGGACCCCCGTGGGGGTGCGTGTGCCCAGCTGGGCAGGGGTGGGAGGCTCAGTGCTGGGGCGGGTGGTACTTTGGCAGCGGGTGGGGTGGTGGGTGCCAGTGGCAGCCCTGCTCCTGCTTTTCACAGGGCTGTGGTGGTTGCTAACAGGGCCTTGTTTGGGTGGGACACAGACCTAAGGAGCCCAACCCTTCATCCCAGTCTGGCTGCAGGTTGGGTGGGAGGTGTGCGGGGGTCTCACTCATTGCCCTCCCCTCCAGATAACTTCTACCTGCGGAACCTTCCGGCGCAGCCCCCCCTGCTCCCCGCCAGCCACGGCTTCCCTGGCATCGCCCGTGCCGCTCCCGGGCCCCCCACCGGCTCCTGCAGCCGGGAGAGGGATGCCGGACCCCTCCCCAAGACCCCCAAGGACTACGAGCGCTTCCTGGCGGGCAAAGAGAAGGGGGGCAAGGGGGACCCCAAGGAGCGGCTGCCCGAGGAGGACCCCAAGGAGAGGCACAAGGCGGTGCTGCCGGTGCCACCCGAGGGGCACTGCAAAGAGGGGGTGCCGCCACGGGGGTCCAGTGAAGGGCGCCCCAAACCCCTGGCCTCGTGCCTGCTGGGGGCCAAGGGGCTGGACGGGGACGGTGCCCGCGCCGCGCTGCCCAGCTGTGCCGGGAGCGCCCTGCCCCGCGCCGCCCGCTGCGCCCCCAAGGAGCGGGAGCCGGGGGTCCCCGAGGCCCCCCAGCCCTACGGCGAGGCGGTGGAGCGGCGGCAGATGCTGCACCACGCCGTGTCCTACGCCGTGCCCGCCGCCGGCTCCTTCCCCTGCCTCCCACTCCACGCCGGCCCCGAGGTGCTCTGCCCGCTGCCCGAGCCCCCTGCCCGCGAGCTGAAGCTCAGCGGGGCTACCTTGGTGCCCTCGGTGGGGCCCCCGACGGACAAGAGCCGCTCCTTCCAGGCGGAATCCGGCGGGATGGAGCGCGGGGACGGCAAGGAGCGGCACGCCGAGGCGGGCACTGAGCCCTACGGTGCCCCCTTCCACCACCCGCTGAAGGCCGAGGGGCCGGCGGAGCGGCGGCTGGAGTGGGGGACTCCGGGCACCCGACTGAAGGGGCTGGAGTACCTGGGGGGGGGCGCAGCCGAAGGACCCCCCTTCTCCGGCCGGTGCCCCGCGCCCAAGGCGGCTCTAGAGAAAGGCTACTTCGAGGTGCCGCCCGCCCCCGACTGCTCCCGCGCCCCCCGGCCCGACCCTCTGGGCGTCCGCGTCGGCCCCTCCTGCTGCACTTTAGAGAAGGGCCCCCCCAAGGACCTCCCGGCCCAGAAGGTGGCACGGATCCGGCACCAGCAGCACCCCGAGGCGGAGGCGGCCGAGGGCAAGCGCAAGCCCCTGGAGCTGGGTGGCCTGGGCTACGGCGGGCACCCCCTGCCCCCCTGGGGGGTGCAGGGCCAGGGGCCCCCCCTGGCTGTGGCTGAGGAGCGGAAGGGGGGGCCCTACCTGGACCCCTTTGGCGCGGGGCTGGTGCGGGCGCAGGAGGTGCCCAACGCCCCCGACGAGGTGTCGGCCATGAAGAACCTGCTCAAGTACAGCAACGGGGCGCTGCTGGGGGGGCAGAAGGGCCCCCCCTTCGTGGGGCTGGGCAGCACCAAGGGCAGCTGCGCCCACCAGGACGCCAAATTCCCATCGGGCAAGGGTCAGCCGGAGCTGGAGCGGCCAGACTGCGCCCGCGGCCGGGAGCACGAGGCACTGGGCCCCAGCGGCACCGAGGGCGAGGTGCGGCAGCCGCCCGTGGGCATCGCGGTGGCCGTGGCGCGGCAGAAGGACACGCTGGGCCGCCACGAGCCCTACGGTGCTGGCGGCACCGGGCGGCAGCGGGCGGCTGCTGGAGTCAAAGGTAAGGGCTGGGGAAGGGGCCGGGACGGCGGGAGCTGGCAGTGCCACGCTGATGGCACCGTGGTGTCCCCGTGGCAGCAGGCACCGCGCGCCCCGTGCACCTGATGGAGCTGGAGGCGGAGGAGGAGCGGGGCCGGCTGTGCGAGGAGCGCCTGGGGCTGCCCGGGAGGGACATCCTGCTCCAGTGAGTGATGGGGGATGGGGGGAGCCTGGCTGTGAGGGCTGGAAAATGTGCTGGGTGTGCTTTTTGGGGCGCAGGGGTGGAAGATGGGGGTCCCTGGAAGTGCAGGGAAGGGTGATGCCAGTGCTGCCCCCTCACTCTGTGTGTCCCCTTTTCCTGCAGGGACAACAAGGACCTGGTGGAGTTTGCCCGGATGCACCCATCGGGGGGGTGTCCTGGGGAGCTGACCCCCCACCTGATGATGACGGGGGGCTCATCGCTGCCGGCGGGGCAGCTCGGGGGGGACCCCGCCGCCCACGCCCACCCTGCCCACACGCACTGGCTGCCCCGCACCCGCAGCCCCTCCATCTGGATGGGGGGACACTCCTACGGTCAGTGCCGGGTTTGGGGGAAGGTGGGTGGGTGCTGAAGCCCAGCAGTGGGGTGCTGACAGACCCCTCCCCATCCCCACAGGCATCGGGCACCCCGCCCTGCACCAGAACCTGCCCCCTGCCTTCCCTGCCTCCATGCCCAGCGCCATGCAGCCCGTGTTCCCCCTGGCCCAGGACCCCCCTGCCCAGCTCGTCATCCTCCCCACGGAGCCGCCCACCCATGGCACCCCCCACACGCTGGGTGAGCCTGAGACCCCCACCATGTGGTGGAGAGAGGGGAGGGAGGCTGGGGGAGGATTGAGGGAGAGGAGGGGGAGTCCTTGGGGTTGCAGGGTGGGAAATGGGGGGGGTCACAGGGGATACTTTTGGGAGTTCGTGGCTGATGGGGTCCCTGGGGGTACTTTTGGAGGTGCAGGGGAGGGGTATGGGGTCCTTGCAGGTGTTTTTGGGGTTCAGGGGTGGGAGATGCAGGTCTCTGGGGGTGCTGCCAGGGTCACAGGACTGGGATTGGGCACTGCGGGGGTTTGTGGGATGACCCTGAAGACGGTCTCCAATTGCACCCCCTCTGCTGGTAGCTGACGTGATGGACCAGGCGTCGCTGTGGCCCCCCATGTACCCGGGACGGGGTCCCAGTGCCCACCTGCAGCACACGGGGCAGCTCCCCGTGTACCCACGGTCGCAGTTCCTGCGGCAGCAGGAGCTCTATGCCCTGCAGCAGCAGCAGCAGCAGCAACAGCAACAGCAGCGGGCAGCCCAGGCCCTCGAGATCCAGCGCCAGGTGCACGGCCAGGTGCCAGGGGGATGGCATGGCATGGCATGGCATGGCATGGCATGGCATATGGGGCTGGCTGGAGCATGCGGGGTGGAGGGTGGGTTATGGGACTGGGATGGGAGATGTGGGGAAGGCTGAAGGACAGGCCGTGGGGCAGGGACTGGAGCAGGGGCTGGATGGAGATGTGGGATGCAGGGCTGAGACGTGGGGCAGGATGTGACACGTGTCACCTCGTTGTGCCCCGCAGCGGAAGCCGGAGGAGCAGCCCCTGGAGCTGGAGGAGAGGGGTCCCGAGAAGCCCCTCAAACCCTCCCACAAAGCAGTTGCCTTAAACCCCCCAGCCAAGGGCCTGACCTCGGTGGCCCCCGCGCCCCCCAAGCTGTCCCCGTGCTGCCACTCGCCGGCCCTGCGGCACCCGGCCAAGTGCCCCGTGACGCTGCCCACGGCCCCCTGCACTTTACCCGCCTGCCCCGCCGCCAGCCCCCCGACCCCGTGCACGCCGGCTCCCCGCCCGCCGAGCCCGAGCAGTCCCGGACCTTCAGCCCCACGGCCGAGGCGCTGCGGGAGCCGGGCCCCCCGCGGGACCCCCCGGCCGAGGGTCCCGGGGCGCTGCTGCACCGCCACCACCTGCTGCTCCCGCCGGGACCGCTCTGCGGGGAGCGGGGGGCAGCGCCGGCCGGGGGCGGCACCGAGGAGCCCTTCGGGGGGCACCGGGAGGTGGCTCAGGGAGCGCCGGAGCAGCCAGAGCAGCAGCACCCCGTGCCCGAGGAGGGGGGCTCCCCGCTGCCCCCCACTGCGGAGGAGGAGGAGGAGGAAGAGGAGGAGGAGGAAGGCGACAGCGATGGCTCAGAGCTAGAGGGCAGCTGCGATGAGGAGGAAGAGGAGGAGGAGGAGGAGGATGGTGACGTCCCCAGTGGGCACCAGGGCTGCACGGGTGGGCTGGAGGCGCTGATCGCCGCCGGCATCGACCTGGGGGAGCTGCCGGCACTGGAAGAACCCGAGGAGCCCCCCCCGGCCCCTCCTTCGCCTGCCCCCCACCCCTCAGGGATCCCGGGCATCGCCCTGCTCAGCGAACTCGCTGACCTGGAGCTGCGCCGGCGCCGCTGTGACCTGGCCAGGGAAGGTGGGTGATGCCCAGTGCCCCCAAGCGTCCCCAGCATGCCCTGGTGCTTCCAGTACCCTCCAGTGCCCTTTGTCCTCTGGGACTGGGGGGTTGCATGCCGTGCCATGCTGTGCCATGCCGTGCCCCACTCGCAGCCAGGGCTCGGCTCCAGCGCTGGCTCCAGGCAGGCGCCAGGATTCGGGATTCCCTCCCAGCTCGGCTTCCCCAGGGAATCCCAGAGGCCCCAGCGGGAATGGCCTGGCACATCCCCAACCCTGTGGGAGGGAGGGAAGGAGGGAGGGGGGGGACCCAGTGCTGGGTTCAGTTGGGGACAGCGTGGGTGAGGGGGTGGCTGTGGGGTCCCACTCCACATGGATGGGTGATGGGGTGGGCACGGGGTTGGCTGTGGCCAGATGGGGCAAATCACCATAGCCCTCCCAGCCGGGGGTCTGCTCCTGTGCCCCCCAGCCCCCCAGGAGCCAGTGCAGGGCTCTGGGGTGTCGGTCCTTGCTGACCCCTGCCGTCCCCACAGGTGAGGATGAGGAGCTGCTGGCCTTCAACCTACAAAACCTGGCCACGGTGGCGGCTGCCTGGTCGCTGGTGGAAGCGGCAGGACGGGAGGGCAGCCCCCCTGCACTCAGCCCCCTGCCCGTGTCCCCCCCGCCCCGTGCCCGCGTCCCCCGGCGCAAGTACACCTGGACCCCCAAAACCAAGGCCGTGAGTGTCTCCCGGAGGGGGTGGCATGGGGGCTGAGCTGTGCCTAGCCTCAGCCCTGCCTTTGAGGCCGCTGGCACTGCCAGCTGTGCCCAAACCCCCCCTGGCCCCCCAGGTGTGCCCGCTGAAGGCGGCCATGGAGCAGCTGAACACGCAGGAGGTGGAGGTGCGGATGCGCCTGGCCGAGCTCCAGCGCCGCTACAAGGAGAAGCAGCGGGAGCTGGTGAGGCTGCAGCGGCGCCACGACCACGAGTACGTCCTGTCCCCGTCCCCGTCCTCATCCTGAGCCGGGGGCAGCACTGGTCTGTGCAGTGAGCCTGGGCCTGTCCTGGCCCCGGTGGTGGTGGGGGCTCTGCTGACGGTGCCCGGTTTTCCAGGCGTGACGAGAGCTCCCGCAGCCCGGCGCGGCGCGGGCCGGGGCGGCCGCGGAAGAGGAAACACTCCAGCGCCCTGGGCAGGGCCGAGAGCCGCAAGGTCAAGTGAGTGACTGGTGCCGCGTGTCCCCCCTTGGCCCAGGGGACAACATTCACCGGCAGGTTCTATGTCACAAAACTGAGAGAGGGGAGGGAGGGAGGGAGGGGTGCCGCGTGTCCCCCCTTGGCCCAGGGGACAACATTCACCGGCAGGTTCTATGTCACAAAACTGAGAGAGGGGAGGGAGGGAGGGAGGGGGAGGGAGGGAGGGAGGGAGGGAGGGGGAGGGAGATGGCAGCTGGGGCATGCAGGAGCCAGCCAGGGTGAGGTCTGGATCCTTCTGGGGGATGCAGGGTGGAGCTGAGGGGTGCAGGTTCCATCCAGGGGTGCAGGATCCCCCCAAGGGGTGCAGGGTCCCCTGGGGGTCCTGCGGGCACCGTGCCCACACTGTGCCCCCCCAGGGCGGTGAAGACCAGCCTGTCCCTGCTGTGTGCTGAGCTCAGGGGGGACCCTGAGCCCCAGAAGAAGAGGAGCAAACTGGCTGGGGGGACCTTCAGCAGCCTCCAGGGCTCCCCGGTGAGTCCCACGGGTCTGAGGGGTGTGTTCTACCCCCACCCCCCCCGAGTCCCCCCAGTGTGGGGTCCTCTGCCCTGTGTGCTGACTCATGGTGTGTCACAGCTGAAGCAGAAGGTGAAGGGCAAGGGGCTGCCCCCTGGGCTCAGCCCCTTCCGCCGGAGGGACCCCAACCCCGGTGCCCGCATCCAGAAGAAGCTGAACCGGCCCAAGGGCTCCAAGGGTTCCAAGTACCAGGGGCAGGACCCCGGACCCCGGCAGCCCCCCCACTTCAGAGGCAAGGAGGGCACAGGGATGGGCTGCGGGATTGGGGTGGGTCTGAGGGCTCTGGGATGGGGGTGGTGGGGTGAGGTCCAGAATGGGGTACAGGGGTGGGATGGGGATCTGCTTGTGAAGTGGTGTGGGATGGGGGATGGGGATGTGGGATCTGGCATGGGGATGGGGTTGTGGGATCTGACACAGGACTGGGGTTCAGGGTGGAAGTTGGGGGTGCAGGGTCCAGCCATGGGTCTGGAGGGGCAGGACAGATGTGGGGGGTGGCTCATGCCAGGGGGTTACACACGGCCTCAACTCACCCCATTGTTCACTGGGGGTGCAGGGGCCACCGCTGTGTGCAGGAGTCCCTCACCCTGTTCTCTCCCCTTGCAGATGAGCCTGAGGGTGACACAGACAGCGAGGAGGGTGATGAGGAGCCGGGGCTGTCACTGTCCGCAGGGCCAGTGGCTGTGCTGGGGCCCTCCCCATCCTCTGTGGTGAAGATGGAGGCCAATGAGAAGGCCAAGAAGAAAAAGGAAAGGCAGGGGCTGCTAGGTAATGGGATTCACCCTGGGAATGCTGGCAAGGACCCTGGGGGACATGTGCTGGGACTGGGTGGGCAACTGTGAGGTGCTGCAAGCCTGGACCTCCGCGGGGTCCCCCGAGCCCTGTCACCTTGTGGGGTGCCCTGACCCCTGTCCCCACCAGGTCCGTGCCGCCTGGGCAGCCCCGAGGGGGAGGTGAAGATCAAGCGGCGGCCGGTGAAGCCGGGGGGAGCCGGGAAGCTGGAGAAGGTGCCGGGCCGGCGGAAGGCGGGGGGCTGCCCTGAGGGCAGCAAGAAGAAGCTGAAAGCCAAGGCCAAGGAGAGCCTGAGGCCCCCAGCCCCTGGCGGCCCCAGCCCCCCGGGAGCCCCCAGCAGCCTCTTTGGGGGCACGGACCCCCGGCTGCTGGGGCCACGGGACGAGGGGGCTCGGCTGGGAGAGAGGGGCAAGAAGGGCACCCGAAAGAGCAAAGGGCTGCAGGCAGCCCTCAGGGTGAGTGGGGGCTGGGCTGGGGGCACCCTTGGGCTCGGGGACAGGGGGATGTGGTGTCTGCATGGGCTGGAGGCACCAATGGGACCGGGGCATGCAGGGCTAGGGTTATTGGGAGCTGCCAGTGAGATGTGGGTTCGTCAAGTTTTTGGGAGTGGTTGTGGGGCACTGATGGAACCATGGGGTGCAGAGGGATGGGGGCAGGTTTTGCACAGGCTGCAGGTGCTGGTGGAGCTGAGGAGGCACCCCTCAGGGTGGTGGGAGGACCTGGTGAGCCCTGGGGGGCTGGGGTCACACAGAGGGGTCACTGGTGGGCCCTGACCTCCCTGTGCAGCGCAAGAACGGGGCACTCTCGCTGGCCCTCTCTCCCCGGAGCGCCAAGACCATTCTGAGCAAGGGCAAGAAACTGGCCAAGGTCAAGAGCAAAGTGGCCACCAAACAGGTGAGATCCATGAGGGGTGCCCCCCACCCTGGCACAGCTGCCTCTGCCCCCCACCCACCCCAAGCCTCCTCCTGCAGTGCAAGGGCCGGGCCGTCAGCAAGCTCCTGGAGAGCTTCACCGTGGAGGATGACTTCGACTTCGACGACAACAGCAGCTTCTCAGAGGAGGAGGAGGAGCTGGGAGGTTGCCTGGCAGGGGGGGCCTGCGGGGGGGTGCCCCACGCCTGCGCCATCCAGAAGGAGGATCTGCGGGATGGGCTGCACATCCTGATCCCCAAGGAGGACAGCCTGCTCTACGCCGGCAGCGTGCGCACCATCCAGCCCCCCGACATGTGAGTGGAGGCTCCCAGGGGTCCCAGACATCTGGGGGGGGTCCCAGCTATTTGAGGGGAGCACCAAGGTGGGTGCTGAACCCTTTCTGTGCCCCCTCCCCAGCTACAGCATCATCATCGAGGGTGAGCGGGGGAACCGGCAGCACATCTACTCACAGGAGCAGCTGCTGCAGGAGGCGGTGAGTGGGGGACAGTGGGGTGGGGGTCAGGGAGAGGGGTCAGGGAGGGGGTCCTGGACCCCACAAACCCTGGCATGCTGCCTCCCTCAGGTCCTTGACATTCGGCCGCAGTCGCGGCGGAGCCTTCCACCCGGCACCCGCGTCTGTGCCTACTGGAGCCAGAAATCCCGGTGCCTCTATCCCGGGAACGTGGTGCGAGGTGAGGCTGCCTGGGGTCACCCGGTGGGGTGGGAGGTGCCGGGGGTCCCTTGCCCACCCCAACAGCCCCCCTGTGCCGCAGGCTCCTCCAGCGACGAGGAGGAGGAGGACGCTGAGGCCGTGCTGGTGGAGTTCGATGATGGGGACATGGGACACATCGCTGTGTCCAACATCCGCCTGCTGCCCCCCGACTTCAAGATCCAATGTGAGGGGCGGGGTGGGATCGGGGGATGTGGGGGGCTCTGGGGGAAGCACGGGACCGCCCTGACCCCCCACTGCCCGCAGGCACCGAGCCCTCCCCGGCACTGCTGGTGTCCAGCTCTTGCCGGCGGGCGAAGCGGGCGTGTGGCGACGTGGGCACCCCTGGGGCGCTGCCCCCCACGGTCTGTCCCGACCACGGCCCCCAGCCCCCCCAGAATTCTGGCAGGAAGGCGGCTGGCAAGGAGAAGAGTGGTATGGAGGGGAAGGAGCGGGATCCGCTGCCGGGCTGGGATGAGGGGAATGGTGTTGGCATGTGGAAAAGGCGTTGGGATGCAAGAAAAGTTTTTCAGATGGGGGAAGGATACTGGGATGTGGGGAAGTGTGCTGGGCTGTGGGGAAGGCTGTTGGGATGCAGGGAAAGGTGTGCTGGCGTGTAGGCAGGGGAACAGATCCATGGGAGAATGCAGGGATGTGTGGAAGGGTGCTGGGATGCAAAGATGGGGTTAAGGGGGCTGGGAATATTGGGGTGCAGAGAAAGGTGAGGAACTGTTGTTGGAGGAAGGGGTGGCACAATGTGGGTGGAGCACAGCCCCAGAGCATCCCTCCCTCCCTGCTCCTGTGGCCTCCTGACCCCTGTGTTCCGCAGGCAAAGCCATGGAGGGGCTGTCGGGGGGCCGGGGGCCGGCGCTGGGGGACTCGGCGGCCGGGCGGCGCGGAGGGTCCCTGCTCAGCTGGGCCGCCGTGGCACAGACCAAGCGGAAGGCGGCGAACAAGGGCTCGGCCGTGCTCCAGAACCTCTTCCAGGTCAACGGCAGTGCCAAGAAGCTGCGGGCCAAGGAGACCCTCTTCCCTCTGCACCACCACCACCACCACCTCGCCGCCCCCGTCTTCGGCAACGCCTTCGGCGCCGACTCCTTCGGCCGCATCGCCAGCTCCTACGGCTCCTTCGGCACTGGCGCAGGGCTGGTGCTGCCGGCGGCCCAGAAGCTCCTGCGCTCCAAGAAAGCCGAGCGGCTGGAGGCTGAGGTGGGCAGGAGCGGGCGCAGGAAGGCGGCGGGCAGCGAGTTCCTGGTCAAGCTGGACCACGAAGGGGTGACGTCCCCCAAGAACAAGACGTGCAAGGCGCTGCTGTTGGCCGAGAAAGACTTCGGGGCCAGGCTGGAGCGGCCGCTGGGCAGCCACGGCTACGGACACGCCGGGCTGGGCGGCCGGGAGCGCAGGGGCCGCGCGGCCGCACACCCGCTGCCCGTGGGGCTGGCGCTGCGCAAGTACTCGGGGCACGGGGACTTCGCCCTGAACTGCGACAGCGACTGCCACAGCTCCTACTCGGACATGGACGAGGACGAGGACGCGGGAGGGCTCGGCGCCGACGTCCCCTCGCGCTTCATGACGCGCCTTTCCGTGTCCTCCTCTTCCTCGGGCTCCTCCACCTCGTCCAGCTCCGGCTCCATCTCCACGTCCAGCCTGTGCTCCTCGGACAATGAGGACTCCTCCTACAGCTCGGAGGACGAGGACTCGGCGCTGCTGCTGCAGACCTGCCTGTCGCACCCGGTGCCGGCGCTGCTGGCGCAGCCGGACGCTCTGCGGCCCAAGGGCGCCGCGCCCCAGCGCTGCTTCCTGTCCAAGGCGGCCACCGCCGGCCCCAAGGCCAAGCTCAAGCGCAAGGATCCCCTCAGCTTCGCCAAAGCCAAAGAGTTCTCCCGGCGGCAGCGCCTGCCCTCGGTGGAAAACCGGCCAAAGATCTCCGCCTTCCTGCCCGCGCGCCAGCTCTGGAGGTGGTCGGGGAACCCCACGCAGGTAAGGAGCCCCACGGGCACTGCCGTGGCACAGACGGTGCCCACCGTGGGCACCCACCTGAGTATGGTTTGGGAGGGAAGGAGCAGGCACGGCTCGGGGCAGGGGGCACAAGTGGGTGTCTGTGCGCAAGGGACGTTGTGCACACCGGGGACATGTCAGGTGCCACGTGCTGCAGGCAGAGCCCTGGCTGCTCAGGGTGCTGGGGACACCGGCTGTGACGTGTGGCGTGTGTGACACATGGGTGCCCAGTGCGTGGTGCTGGTGGCTTTGGCTGCAGGATGGGAGAGGGAGCTGGTGACATCAGCTGTGAATGCCAGCACAGGGAGCTGATGACACCAGCTGTGTCCCTGGAGCTGCCAGTGCTGGTGACACTAGCTGTGTCCCCCGTGCTGTGAGCCCCCCGCCCTGGCACTGCCCTCCGCATCCCCCCGCGGTGTCCCCATGGCAGCAGGGCGTGTTTGGGGGTCCCTGTGGCAGCGCTGAGCCCGTGTCCCCTCCGCAGCGGCGCGGCATGAAGGGCAAGGCGCGGAAGCTGTTCTACAAGGCCATCGTGCGGGGCAAGGAGACGCTGCGCGTGGGCGACTGCGCCGTGTTCCTGTCGGCCGGGCGGCCCAACCTGCCCTACATCGGCCGCATCGAGAGCATGTGGGAGTCCTGGGCCAGCAACATGGTGGTCAAGGTCAAGTGGTTCTACCACCCCGAGGAGACCAAGCTGGGCAAGCGCCAGAGCGACGGCAAGGTGAGGGCAGGGCTGGCCCCGGGGGCAGGGAGCCACGGGCCAGCTCAGGTAGCCACGTGCTGTGTCATGTGGTCACGCATCGTGTCAAGTAGCCACATAACATGTCAGGCGGCCATACCTCATGTCAAGACATGTATCGTGCCATGTACCACATGAGGTAGCCACATAGCAGGGCAAGTAGCCATGTACCGTGTCTGGTACCATGTGTGCTGTCAGGTGGCCACGTGCCATGCCAGGTGGCCCTGTCCTATGTCATGTAGCCACACGTGGCCATGCAGCACATCAGGCAGCCATGTGTGGTGTCGAGTAGCCACATATCTATGTCAGGTGGCCATGCCCCATGCCAGGTAGCCATGCCCCATGCCAGGTGGCCCTGTCACTGGCCAGGCAGCCATGTCCCAGAGCAGGTGGCCCTGTCCCACAGCAGGTAGCTGCGTCACCAGCCAAGTAGCCATGTCCCCAGCCAGGTAGCCACATCCCACACCAGGTGGCCATATCCCCCAGCAGGCAGCCATGTCCCACACTAGGTAGCTGTGTCCCCAGCCAGGTAGCCACATCAGGTAACCACACGCCAGCCCGGGCAGCGACAGTGACGGCGCCTTGTCCCCGCAGAACGCGCTGTACCAGTCGTGCCACGAGGATGAGAACGACGTGCAGACCATCTCGCACAAGTGCCAGGTGGTGGGGCGGGAGCACTACGAGCAGCTGACGCGCGGCCGCCGCTGCCAGGACCGCCAGGACCTCTATTACCTGGCGGGCACCTACGACCCCACCACGGGGCGCCTGGTGACCGCCGACGGGGTGCCCATCCTGTGCTGACCCCGGGGTGCCCGCCCTGTGCTGACCCCGCCCAGCTCTTATGCAAAGACGTGGGGACATTGGGGGCGCATCAGGGGACGTGGGGGGGCCTCCCCTACAAGCCATAACTTTCCCTAGTACCTCTGACTGTTTGCCAGCAGGTGAAGCAGAAATCAGGTGTGTTGTTCTATTTATTTTGCCTGTAAATATTGTATCTCTTCTGGGAAGTTTTATGGAAAAGCGAGAAAGGAAAAAAAAAAAAAACCCAACGACGACAAACCCAACAACAGCAAAAACAAAAAAAAAAACAAAAAAAAAGACAAAAAATTACGAAAAAAATCACAAAAAAATAATAATAATCCTCGGGGAAGAGGGGTGGGGGGGGGTCGTTTCAGTGCACTGTGTCCCCCAGCCTGGGGGGACGGGGACAGCGGGGAGCGCTGTACAGAGGGGGCCAGGGCGGGGGCTCGGCCCCGGGTGGGGGGCCCAGCGCCGCCGTCCCCAGTGCAATAGTGGGGTGACCGCGGGGGGGACACCCCGGGGGGACCACGGGGACCCCGCGGGGCCGGCGGACGCTGGTCCGTCCCGCCGCCGCTGCCTGGAAAATATGTACAGGGGCTTTTCCAGTGTAAACACTAAAAAACAAAAAAAATCCCACAAAACAGGATTAAAAAAAAAAAATAACCCAAAAGGACAAAAAAAAAAAAAGGAGCAAAGGGTTAAACAAAGGTTTTATGAGCCGCCATTCCTGTAAAGGCCTTTTACTATGGAACTTTTTTATGGATAACTTGGCTTATGAATAAATATATGAACCGTTGGTGGTGCCCGCTCCGCTCTCGCTCCGCCTCCGCTCCCTTGTGCTGCCACCAGCCCTGGAAAGCCCAGGTATGGATGGAGCAGGGATGGAGCAGCACAGGATGGATCAGGGATGGATCACTGATGGATGGGGATGGACCAGGGATTGATCAGGGATTGATCTCTCCGGGCCTGTTCTCCGTCCCCACGTGTGCTCAGACGGACGGGCAGCGCTCCCTCGCCATTGGTCGAGCCTCCGCCAATCAGCGAGGGCCGAGCCGGCAGCCGGGCTCCCATTGGCTAGCGGGGAGCGCTTTTGTTCTCGGCTCTGGCTCGCGCCGTCTAGCCCCACCCCCGGCCGCCAGGGGGCGCTGTGGGCGGGGCCGAGAACGCGCGCGGGACCGTGCTGCCCCCTGGCGGCCGCGCCGCGCCAGAGCGGGAGGGACAGAGGGACATTGGGGGGGACAGAGGGATACGGGGGGGGGACAGAGGGACACGGGGGGAGAATATTTGGGGGACAAGAAAGGGGATGGACAGACAGACACAAGCTCAGCATAACAGAAGGGACAGAGAGCTGCATGCTGGGACGGACGGACAGACGGACAGGGACGTGGCTGGAGGGAGGCCAGACAGGTTGGCAAAGGGACAGATGGATACAGGGAAAGGGACAGACGGACAGGCAGACGGGCACAGGGAGCAGCGGACAGATGGATGGGGCAGGGATGGACAGCTGGACAGACACTGATGCTGGGAGGGATGGATGATGAGCCAGGGAAGTGCTGGCTGGGTGGACAGACAGATGGACAGATGGCTGCAGGGAGGAACGGACAGCTGGATGGACAGATGGATGTAAAGAGCCCGGAGAGACGCAGGGGTGGAGGGGACAGACAGGAGGACAGAGGGATGGCTGGACAGACAGACAGGTGCAGGGATGGACAGGCAGCTGCAGTTGAGTGTGGGTGTCACAGGCTGGGGGGCCAGGACACCCCACACCCCCCACAGCCGGGGGGCCCAGGGACCCCCACCCACCCCCAGCCCCGGGCTGTCCCTGGCAGAGGGGACAGTGCCACCCAGGGCCACCATAGCCCGGGGACCTGTGCCCACGGCTGAGCTGCCCTGTCCCCCTGGTGCCCACGGCCACCTGCCACCCTCACCTGTCACCTGCTGGCCTGGGGACACGCCCAGGGCTTTGGGGTGTCCCTGAGGAGAATCCCCCCATCCCCGTGCCAGGGCAATGGAGGAAGGGTGGGGAGGGCAGAGCTGGAGCCCCCCGGCAGGAGGAGCACCCCGAGGAATGCCAGCCCAAAACACCTATTTTTAGCCTCAAAACCCCACCCCAGCTTCCTGGGGAAGCTCCCACCCAATCCCCCCCCCACCACACAAACCCAGCTGGAGTTACTGCAGCTTTTTACCATTTTATTTTCCTTACACAATGAAGTGTTGTTGGGCGTTACAATTTCTCAACTTTTCAGATGATTTTTAAACAAATTTTGGTTCTTTTGTTTTTCCTACCGTCACGTGAGAACATTAAGGCAACGTACAAAAAAAAAAAAAAAAAAAAAAAAAAACAAAAAAAAAAAATTTTTTTACTAAATTTAAAAC